GTGTTAAACTGTTATGTGATTTTCTTGAATGGTGACTTGGAAAACTGCGAGACAATATTTGGGACGAGTATGAGTAGGTGTGAAAGGTAGTAGATGCATATACTACCAGAAGCATAGGACTCACGCTTGGATTAGGGAAAGTCACAAGGTTACCAAGAAGCTAGTAATTGATTTCGTTTTATTCAAGTATGTTGTTACCATTGTTTCGGTAATGACTAAGCAAACTTGTTGTTATCCCGACCCTAGTGGTCATATCACATTGAGTCCGACTACGATGAGTAGGTTACGTGGTTCAGAGAACCAAGTTTGATGTAGCATCCGACTTAAACCAAACAACTGAAATCAAAACGATCAATAGAAGTATCCCACTCGCTGTTAAAGAAGTTGGTAGCTAGAAATGCTACATGTTAAAGTGTGATTATATCACATTAAAACATGAAGGAAGGCATAGTCTATTTTAGAATTTAACTCTAAGATACCTGAGTCTAAACGTGTATCACATGATGATAGGTCATAATTTGGAGTCTAACCTAAGGTAGAGAGCAGGTGCACGATCAAGTAATGCTTACAGTCAATAAGTCTAAGAGATAGACTTGAAGGAATATAGAAGTTATAATTATTACCTAGGACGAAGAGATGACGTATTGAGTCATTATACGAGCCCTGTTTCGTTGATGATTCCGGGACGTAATCATCCTAAGGGGGAGATAATTGTAACGCCCGTAGATCCGGACTAGTCAATTTTGAGGCAATAAGTGTCGAAAATGACTTTTTGACAAAAGATTATTTAGAATAAATAATCTTAACCAAGTTGTAGAATATTTATCAAGGTTTCCGTACATATAAAGAACGCCGAAATCCGAGTTATAACGAAGAAGTTATGACCCGTCGAAGTTTCGCGACGGAACTGGCACGGTACCGGGAAGCGTAAAAAGTGACTTTAAGATAGAGAGAGATTTAGCCTTAGTGATCTAAACAAAAGTCGTAGAATATGTTAAACCGAGAAAATCCATAAAAAGAACGCCCAAATCTGACTTCGTATGAAGAAGTTATAATTTTTCTAAGATTCGGCTTAACAGTGTACAGCCCGAAACTCGAATTTTAGTTCGAGCGGTTTTTGTCTTACTCTACCTAAATAAGAGTTGAAGATCTCATTAATAGGAACTCAATGGTAAAAAGACAGACGAAAACAGAATCCGTATAAAGGAGTTATGAATTCTTCGCGGTCATTTAACAGTCTAAACGCCTCCTACTGTTAAATTTGAGATCGGACGAGAATTAGCCGATGGAGTCTAAACGAAAGTTGTAGATCTTGATTTTACCTATGTGTGGATATAAAGAACGTCGAAGATGGAGCTCGTATGCGAAAGTTATGATTTTTCTAAGTTTGAAGGCTAATACGCAATAGGGGGTGACGTGGCACCACTAGAATTGGACACGTGGCACCACCAGAAGGACACCACATGCACCAACTCAGCGAGTCCACCAGTCAGGCCTCCTATAAATAGAGGTGTCGGGCATTCACTTCTCTTCACACCTCTCCAACATTCTTTCTCTCTCTAGTTTCTCTCTCTAGCCTCCCAAACCCTCCCTAAAGCCTAGGTAAACCCGCTAGCACCCGAAGGAAGCCCCAAGGCTCCCGGAGTCCCGAGAAAAAGGGTCTTTCGGCTCGGAAATGCTGCTCCAATGAAGCCCAGTTTTCGAGAAAACCCGTTGTAAGTGAGCTACGCCTACCCTATCTTTAGCATAGCTTATGTTTCGATATAGTAATATTATTAGGACTTTAATATAATTATTTGGGCTATTATTATGAGTTATATTAAGTGTTATTTAACGCTTATATAATAATAATAATAATAATAATAATAATAATAATAATAGCTAGACTATTAATTAGTCGTGGTTATCGTTAAACTAAACCCTAGTGGTATTGATACTAGGTTTTATCGAAGGAAATTGTTTTGAGAGTATCGAAGCGCTGTCCGAGTGCTGAGTCACCACCTTTCAGGTGAGTGCATAGTTACTTTCATCTTACACATAGATATGAAGTATTTTATATAAATTACGTGCTATGTGTGCATATTATCTGAATACTTGTTGTCTATGCTGGATGAACGATTTTATACATGTTTCAAATGATTTAAACTGTATATGTATATTATATCTACGATAATGTTGGGGTAAAACATGGGTAGATGTAAGAGATGTAGTATGAGTTGGATGATGAGTTGAGAGGTGAAATAGACCGTGAGGTGAGGATGAGAGGTGGACGATGTGAGAAGCCTTTTTCCCAAATGATGGCCCCGTCATTCAGAAGAGTATGGATGACAATCAATGACTATTCTAGACAGTCCAGTGGAACACTAGCAGGCTCACAACCTGTAGGTGTTGTGAACGACGTGTTCACCCGGTGTACTCTAAACCCTGGTGATCATGCAGACTTGATGCCTAAACCCTGGTGATCATGCAGACTTGATGCCTAAACCTTGGTGATCATGCAGACTTGATGCCTAAACCCTGGCGACTATGCAGACTTACTGCCTGTTGTGTAAACCGTGGCTATGATGGACTTTGTGCCGATTCCTTAGGATAATCCTTAGGAATGAATGAACGAGAAATAGCTGGTTCTTAGGGTAGATCCTTAAGAGTAAAGAAGATAATGGGGATGGGTAATTGGGTTTGATTGCTTGATTGATTAAACATAATAATTATATTATTGTGGGTTGAAAACCCAATGTACTCACCAGGTTTCCCAACCTGACCCACTCAGTTTATTTATATCACAGGTGTTGATACGAAGTCACTTTACACTGTGAGATTTAAAGAGATGTAGATCACTAATGTAAATAAATGTAAGTTCTGTTTATGCTTATGTTTCTGTATTAACGATGACATCCCAAACGTTTTGAAATGAATAAAATACGTTTCTTCGAAAATGTTTTAATAACGTATTTATCATGTTTTTCTGGGAACAAATTCCGCAACATTTTTATTAAAATAAGTACTCTGATTTTTATAAAGCATAAACAAAATCGGTCTTTTCTGGTCGTGAAAAATGGGGATGTCACAATATATATACATATACATACATATATATATATATATATATATATATATATATATATATATATATATTCTTTGTTGTTTTAAATATATTACTATCTTATTGTAAGGGTACGGTGTTGGGAAATTTAGGGTTTGTGGTGGAGATCTGGATACCAGCTTGTATCGTGATATCACTTTCTGAACTAATACTTCTACCCTATGTATGGGTTACAAGAAATTCAGTTTAGGATAATCCAAGTGGACACTTACGTTTCTAGGCACATAAAACGTAAGTCAATATGCTAGAGGATTCTATGAAAGTATGATGAAAAATGAGAGCTTAAGATCATAACCCTCTTCTGAAGAGGAAGAATTGTTTATATATTAAATGAGATTAGGGTTTCATTAGGGTTGGGCCGTCATTAGTTTCTTTGGAAGCAAGTAATATTAATCTGGTTTTAATGAGGATTTAAGGTTACCAAAACTAACGACTTTCGTTTCCTTAGTTTTTACCATAATCACCCTCAAGAAATTGAATTTTCCACTATGTTCCCATATGTAATGAGGATTTAGGGTTTTAATAAGGATTTAGGGTTTTAATAAGGATTTAGGGTTTCATTAGAGTGGGACCCCAGCCAAGGGCGCTGCCCCTTTAGAAACCCCGGACCCAGGGGTGCTGCCCCCGGACCCCTGACTAGTCGTCAAACCGGCTTCTAATTCAATCTTATACATGCGTGCACTCTGCACAACCCCGTACATATATTAGAGTACAAATTATGAAGCCCCTTAGTTCACATGTTAGTTCCGGTTACTTAAAATGACGTGGTGACACAAAAATCACCAACAAACGGAGCTTAGAATTATTTTGTTTGGGCTTCAACTATCTGAATTTTTTACTAAAAAACACGAAAATTTATTGTGTTATTTTAATTCTCCAGCTTGCTACTATCATTAATGTTTGGAATGGTTTGTAATAATATTGTAATATTTACTTTGTTAAGAAAATGAGTTATTTTTTAATCTTTTTTTCCCAGATATTGTTGGAGTAAAATCTCATTAGGACGCTACTAATTTGTTTATAAACGTTGATACTTTTGAGATTAACAAGTATAGGAAAAGTTAGTTTCATTATTACAATTTTTTTATAAACAAAAAATAACTATTAATCTTGATCTCTTTTACATAATACATATCGAAGGGTTTGGTTGATGGATGTAGAAAGTCTGAAAGTAGTATAATTGTACTTGTGAGTCACTCTTTTCTCATCAAATGATTGGTTTCAAGGTGATTATGAAATCAAAAATGTTTGTGATGTCTTCCAGCCACTGAAGGTATATTATCACATTTTAGTTTAATTGATATTTTTTTATTTAAGACATTTTACATATGAAATTTGATTAGTCTAATTTTGGTACTGTTACAAGAATGTAAATTTAATTTAATTGGAACAATCAAGGGAATCCGACAGGATCATGCGTTGTTTTATGATGTATGTACTAGATGTGGAAAGAAGGTCACAGAGGTTGACAATGTTGGTCGCGCCTATGATTCAAAAAAACACGAATCGGATTTGTCTACTCTTAAGTGTAAAACTTACCAACATCTCAGTTGTTATCAAAAAAGATAAGTACATAAAATCTACTTTGTCTTAAACATTGATATCTTTAAAATTGATATTTATTTAAATATATTGATAATACCGTTTGTTTCATACAGGTTTGTGATCCTTATCAATCTTCAGGATGGTACAGGGATGATTTCATTAACACCTTTTGATAAGGATGCAAGGAAAATGTTGATTACAGTGTGGGTGATTTGGACAAAATAGTGAAGGATGTATAATATTTTTCCTATGCCTTTTAGTTAACTTGGGATGAGCATCGGAATCGGCCAGGGAACCGAACGTTGTGGAAAATTGTTAATTTTTTATTTTTTTGGAAAATGACCAAATAACCGATTTTCTTTTCTTTTCCTCTTTTTTGGGATGAAGCATCCATGATTCACAAACATGTATTTGTAGATTTAGATCGAACTTTGAAAGATATATTAAAGTGTCATAATCCTAGAAACTCAAACTTGTCATTTAGAGGGAAAGTGATTGTTTTTGGAGGAGATTTCATACAAATTATGTCTACTATCCAAGTGGTAGGGATGAGCATATGTATCTGGGAACCGGCCGGAACCGGAACCCGATGGAACCGGTCGGGCCGGGACCGATTCAATATTCTTGTGTATTTTTGGAACCGGGAACCGGTAGGAACCGAAAAAAAACCAGTAGCCGGCAAAACCGGAACAGTATGTTGCTATTTCTCGAGGACTAGTTCCAACATTGAAGACACGGCAAGAACCGGTAGAACCAGCAATCCAGTTCGGCTCCTATTTTCCTCCAAGTTTGGTTCCCGGACCGGTTCCGGTTCGGGCTGGTTCCAACCGGGTGTGTTCTTTTGCTCATCCCTAGTGGTTGTAAACATGACACTGTTAATGCCTCTTTAAGTTCATCATATCTATGAAAACAATTCAAAGTCCATCAACTAACCAAAAACATGAGGTTAAATATTGAAAGCGATACATCTTCTATTCAACAATAATGGATTTTGCAAAATGGCTATTGGATAAAGGAGAAGACAAACTTGGTTAAACAATACGTATTACTTCTGTTTTTATCACTAGTATAGGCAAGGAACTTTTTTTACCTTACCGTTAATTATGTACTACTCAATGAAGAGTTTGATATGATTATTAGTTTAAACAATACGTATAAATAAACAAACATAAGTTTGGTGACAAACCATAACAACTTAACATGCAAACACAACTACATCAAACCTAATTAAAGACAAATTGTTATAAGTGCTCAAGGAGCTGACAAATGTATGATTTGTAAGTTGCTAATTTGATAACTCTTCTAAAATGTTAATAGATGTTTGATTGTTATTCTGATATGCGAATGACATAAATGATCCAAAAAGTTGTAGAGTTCTACATAATACATCTAAAATTCCCTAATATCAAAGAATGGGACAAAACCAAGTGAAAAGGGTAAATCTATCCAAATCCTAGAAAAGGTGAAAAACTATCCAATTTTCCAGAAGAAACACATATCTCAAAATACCCTTGTATCCAACTCTCACCAATAAACCAATATCAACGTTACCTACAATTAAAAAAACTAAAAAATAATAGCAAAATCCAAAGAAAAACCCAAAATGAAAAATCTTAACCTGAGTGCATCCTTCCAGCTTTCTGGTGAAAATATAAAATTCAAAGTACATTCCTAGTTGGTGTTTCTTTTTTGAAAAAAAAAATACAATAAATATAAAAAAACGGAAAAAGCTATTAATTGAAGGTTCTACTATAGCTTCAATGGCATTTTGAAAAGGGAGGTAATGTAATAAATAATGCATCAATGGAGTTCGGAATTACCAGTGCCATGAATTCTGTAACAAACAGAATGAGGAAGATGAACAAAATGACCCAACATTGACCCATCTGGTAACAATACTCTTGATGTTATTCCTCACATACATCTTCTTCACACGCTTCTACTTTTTCTGTATGTTACATTAAAACAGAGTTAAAATCATACAAGGGTTTTTTTTTATCATAAAATTTGACCTAACCGAGCATTACCCAAAGGAAAACAAACAATACTTACGCTCTAAATTTGATAATTTAACTTCCACTGTTGCCCATTTCTACAAGCTCGTTTTTTTTCTTCCACTAACAAATTGCTGCGTAGGGAAGTTGAGATGAGCGGGTCAAATGGGTGAACCCTATGATGTGCGTTTGTAGATGAACCCACAACAATCGACATACCTGAACAGGATGTTGGAATAAAGAATAAGTAGGAGGAAGCCACCCAGTTCAACAAATATTTTATGTCTGAAAGAAATAAACGAAATTACAGTTCAAGGCCTTTGCTTGGAACCTCTGCATCAAAGAGCAATGATTAGTATTAGATGGAAGAAACAGATTGGTATAGGAGATGGTGGTAGATGTGTTGGGCATTGACTCATCACATTCCATTTCACACACACACACACACTTAAACAACGAAGAAAGCTACCTATGTATATGCAACACTTAGTGATATGAAGAAGCCAAAATGAGAAAACCTGAAACGATTGGGCACAGAACACCGATTCCCTGACACGTACCTCGACTTTCTATGGTTCCGAAGTGAAGAATGGTTTGATCCGATAGAACTTTAATCGTTTTCAGTGACAAAAGCCTCAATCGAATTGGGAGAGGTTGACGCAAACGGTGTCATTGACTCCCAACGATGAGAATAAAGGAAACCGAGGGTGGTAATTTAAGGCTGAACATGGCGGTGCACGTGATTTCGTCTGAATCAAGAACAATAAAGGTAGAGAACAACAGGGGCTATAAAGGGAACCGCATCGGTCAGCTTTTTGAACTGGTGGTTGCCGACATGGTGACATTCAAAGCAATTGAAGGTTTTGAGTAATCGGTGGAGGGATTAAGCGGTAACACATGAACAATACCTTGTTGAAGAAGCGGTATGGAGGTTTTCAGATCATATGGATTTGTTCGCACTTCAATCGGTAGCCGATAGTGGCCGATTAGACCGACGGTAGAAGAAGGGATCCCTTATCTCTATGTCGTTGAGAAAAGAAAGCCTAACCTTTGAAGAAATCAATAATCTCTCCCTCTTCCAGTTAGTCATCTTCTACACCATCTGATCGAACATCCCTAAGCTTGTTGACACGATTTCTTCCATCAATCTAGTTAGTCATGGCAGTGAAGAGGTGGAAGAGCAAGACGATAGTGGTCGTTTAGGGTCGTCTTGGTGATGGATGATGGATGCATAAGGAACAGTGGTGTGAGTGATGATCGGAAGAAATCGGAGGAGGATCTAAATGAATTGAGAGGAGTAGGTAGCGGTGGAAGGAAAATGGAAGCGGTGGTGACACCAATCGATTTTTGGTGCGGTTGGAGGACACTCATTCATTCAGAGTATAGACGGACACGTGTGAGGGGCTAAAGTTACAACCCCTCAAAGTGTGGTGAAGTACCGATAGAAGTAATACGTATGCATCTCCAATTAAAAAAAAAATGGCTAAAAGGACCTTTAAAAAAAGAAGGAAAGAAACATATGATATTTACCAAACATATATAACCATAAGGATCTATGTTGCCAAACCCTTAGGAACAGGACATTTTTGTCATCCCTTTAGCATATATCCCAAACTGCAAAAAAAGAAATATTTAAAGGATCATTTTTGCCATCCCTTAATAATTTTAATCTATAGTATCTATAGTATAATTTTAATTACTTCATTTTTTATTTTAATAATTAATTTAGCATTTCATTATACGACATTATTTCTTTCTTATTAGTTCACAAATAAAAATTATCTCATATATCTTAAAAAATAATTTCACATATTTATTTTATCAACAATTATAATTTTATATAAATAAAAAAATATTATTTTGTTTCTTAATTAATATTTTATTTAAAATATTTGATTAACAATTATAAATTTTTACTATAAAATTTTAATCAGAAAAATCAACCGTTATTCCTAAGAACTATAACCTAATAGTTTATAAATAAATAATAATTATACAAATATAACCCAAGGTGATGAAAATGAAAAAAAAAAAAATGAAAGTAGTTACTTCGTTAACGTCACATCAAGTTTGAAACCAACACAACGTGGAGTCCAAAGTTCATTAATATACATTTATAGCTAGTAAGGTTATTATGGAGTAAGGTTGCTAGTTTCTTATTATTATATAATTTTAGAACGGTTCAAAAAAAATATAATTTTAGAAAGTAACGGATTTAAAAGTAAAAATCAGGGATTGCATAAACTTTTAGCGGTTGTATTATTAGAAAAAAAAAAAAAAAAAAAAAACAACTTATTTTTGAAAACAGTTTCGTCACAAAATCATTAATAAACCGACAAATTTATACTAAATTTTTAATTTTTCAGATTTTGTGATAGATTGCCAACGGATTTTGACGAATTTGCTTTAAATTTATACTTCATTTAACCGGAAATTTTAAGGGGCAGCTCATGCTATCCCGTACAACATAGTAATTTACCCCTGATTTTAGATGTTTAGTTATGGTTAATGATTAGTATATTGGGCGCAACAACAAATTTGATGTCCTCTTACATAAAAATTTCAACATAACTTTATTCTTTGATAAGAAAAAGTCCACAAGTGAATGAGTGTAGGAAGTTTAAAGATGAAATGTAAAATACATAATCATTATCAACTATCAATACATATACATGCCAAAACATCAAGGCCCACAAAGAACTCCGGGAAAAAAATGAATTATTATATTTATGGGGTAGGGATCCGTACACAATAATTTTTCTCCATGAACAATAATTTATACTTTGTGGAGTTGTACAATACAACATTTTAAAACACATATTCCTGAGTATGAAAAAAAATTATTATATAATAATCATTTTCCTATTTATTAGGTTCATTGCAATACATTAACGAACAAGCTTGATGATTTGTTATTTGCTCATCCATTCTCATTAAAAACACATGGTGTTGATGACTGTGTCATAAATCCAAAAGTGCCCCCCCCCCCCCCCCCCAATTTTCAAAATACATAAGCCCCAACATTTACTCCATGTATTTTATCTATTTTACAAAGCCTTTCTCCTATAAAAAAAAAATTAAGCACACATATATATTGGGTGTTAGTTTATCGATTTTGTGGTTAAAACACACACACATATATATTGGGTGTTAGTTTATCAATTTTGTGGTTAAAAAAACAAATCAAAAATAAAATTATTATAATTTTAATATGCATATTTAATAAGTTTAGATTAATCAGTGAAAGTGATAAAGCTATTAATATGTAATAGTGATATCATCAAATGAAATAAAATATAAATATTATTAAGACGAGGGATCGATGATATAATAGATAAGTAATTGAATGGTTATATATATATATATATATATATATATATATATATATATATATATATATATATATATATATATATATATATATATATATATATATATATATATATATATATATATATATATATATACAAGTAGGATCATGCGAAAACATAAATATCTTGCGAAAACGCGAAAACAGATTTTATCTTATAAAAACTAAACACAAGTACTATAAAAATTAAATTTATTAGCAATAAATTAAATATAATAAGTTTACATTTTATTGTGTTATTATAATATAGATTTAAAAACGGTTTTATCAACTATTTGTTTTTCCATATCCTTGACCACTTTTAAATTCATGTTTTATAATAAAAATGTCAAATATCATGCTTTGCTAATATGAAACAATTTCTTATGTATAATCGATTATCATCATGTAGTTCAAAGTTTGGATGAATTATTGTCCAAAATATAAAGTTGAGGTGACACAATATTATAGTTTTTTCTTGTTTTCACGTTTTCGTAAATTATTTGCATTTTCGCATGAACCCTCCCCTATATATATATATATATATATATATATATATATATATATATATATATATATATATATATATATATATATATATATATATATATATATATCCAAGGACACTTGGTTGTTAATAAGTTCCATTGAAAAAACTAGAAAAACATAAAATCAAAAGGTAGAATTTCATATATACTTTTAATAAACAGTAAAATATTATATATGTCTAGCTTAATATTTAAATATAATATAGATCCTTCTTAAGGTGTCAAAATATCATATTTACACAAATTCTATTTTTTAACATTTTCATAATCATTTTAAAATATTTTTTTATCAGCTGACGATTATATCCCTCTTAAAGATAAGTTTAAATATCTCATTTACCTTTCATAAATATCACCAAAAAAAATATCATGTTTGAGACAACTATCACACACAGTAACAAAAAAAACATATTCCAATCACAGTAATCAAAACAATATTTCAAATAATGTCATCACAATACACAGAGAAATCAAAACAATATGTGAGTGAATACATAAATTATAATAGAGAAATAGGGAAATAAAAACAATATCTTTGAGTGATGCTCAATGGCTTAGTTGTACGGAGTGGCTCTTTCAACTGAGAGGTCATGGATTCAAGTCTCTTTGAAGATATAGGTGATTATTTAGAAGTAGGCTAATTAGTTAGTTTACCGTTTCAAGAAAAAAGATATGCAATGAATACAATGTATATTTTAACGAAACATGATTTTTTTAAGAAGAATAAATTTATAGCAATCATAGAAATAGTGACTTTAATATCTTAATATTATATCTCTATTTATCAAAAATCAAAACGGTTAATCGCAAATTAATGTACTTTGAAAAAAAATGTTAAATTACAAAAAAATAGAAATCAAAGATGATAATGCCTCTTGTAAAATTACAACATTTGATAGGATAATCACGAAAAACCAACCAACTGGGGATGCTTGGGACGACGAATGGTGGCTATAGCAGAGTTTCGACAACTATGTATTACTATAAAATAAAAGGAATAATACATAGAAAATAGTGGGAAGGGTATTATGGGAATTATATACTTCTGATAATTATAACTGATTTTAAATGAAAATAATTAATTATAAAAATATTTAAAATATGTTAAAAAATAGGATTAAGGTAAATAACTACAAATTTCGTAGGCGACCACTTATTAAAATGTGAGATGTTTTAGGATGGCCTCTAAAATCTCTTTTTTCATTTTGTCAAATTTTAAAATTTAAACATTCATAATTCTTTCATACAAACTTCATTTCAAAATAAAGTATTTAGTGAAAAAAAAAAAAAAAAAAAAAAAAAAAAAAAAAAACCTAAATTTGAACCTTAATTACTTTTACATATGAACTCTAACAATATTCATTTCTTCTCAAACAAGTATGAAAACATGCAATTTCAAGTTTACACTGAAATTAAAACTTCGAACTAATAACTTGGAAGTAATTCGTTGTTTGTTAAATGTTACTAGTTTTGGTTTACAAAACAATTACACATTCGATAAATTAAATAACAAAAAACCTTAGAAAAACACTCAAACGGATTTATACATCAATGTTAATTAATTAATTGTGATCGTCGAACCTATGGAACCGGTCACACTCTTAGGGTAAAAAGAGTCCACCTCTCCCATCTCTTCCGATTCATTTGCGAGATCAACCATTTTTCTTTCGTCTCATTTCTTTCAATCACACAACATATGGAAAATTATTTCTCTCATTCACCACAACTCACTCATTTTTAATTTTTTAAAATTAACATTCACAAAATTAAAATTTTAAAATAAAATTAAACATAAAATTTAACTAAAAACACATATTGCAACCAAAAAAAAAAGCTAAATCCTAAAACGATCATTAAAATGATAAAATGACAAATAAAATCCTAAAACGATAATTTAAATGATAAAACGACAATTAAAATAAACTAGTTATCTAAACGCAGTATGTAGACATGCTCAATGTAATCATTAACATCTACAAAGTTAGTGGTGGGTTTCGATGTTACTACTTCATTGAGTATTTTTGGATTCATTTCTTCAAAAGGGATCAATATGATGAAGTAGAGATACCACGGCACCATATCTTGCGTAGAATAATGCAAATATATATCAGAGTAAATTACTGAAATCGTCCTTGTGGTTTTGTCAAAATTGCACGTTTGGTTCCTAACTTTTTTTTTGCACTCGGATCGTCCATATGGTTTGATTTTGTTGCGTTTTTCGTCCTTGTGGTTTGATTTTGTTGCATTTTTCGTCCCTTATATACATAAAGTTAGGGACCAAATATGCAACTTTTACCAAACCATAAGGATAAAAAACGCAACAAAATCAAACCAGAAGGACGATCCGAGTGAAAAAAAAAATTAGGGACCAAACGTGCAATTTTGATCAAACCACATGGACGATTTCAATAATTTACTCTATATATCATATATTTTCTTGTGTATGACAACATTGACCGTATTGAATGTTGTATTATTTTGAGGACTCAAAAGCATGTTCCACATCTTTTTTTTATTGATTATTGTGTTGCCTTAAAAAAAAAATTTCTCATTATGGGAGTGGATATGATTTCACAACTACCCCTCAAATCGGATAATATCCCATATGCAAAATAGTAGCATCCTTGTATTCTTCGTTATTCAAATCAAATGAATACTAAGGTTGTCTTTGGTGCACCACATCTAACTGATAAGCTAGTTTATGTTTCGAGTTTTTTTAAGTTAGTCATATTTGATAAGGCAAAAAGTAGCTTATCAGCTAGCTTTTTAAAAAATTACCTAAAGTAGCTTTTTTACGATTTTCCAAATATACCCTTTAATTAATTATAAACACACATTCTTTTAAATACCCTTTTATGTCATTTTATATTTTTCAGTTAGCTTTTCAATTAGTTTTACCAAACGTTATTTTTTATCAGCTAACAACTAGCTTTTTATTTAACAGCTAGTTTTTCAGCTACTATGTGAAACATAGCCTAAGGGTGATTTTACATGATATTTCGTGTCTATACATAGATCCTTGCTTATAAAAGCTTCATTGGAAACCTTCCATGAAACTCACACCCATCACAAGATTTAGCAGCTTGTAAACACATTGCCAATTAAAAAGCCTTCTTGTGTAGCTTCCACACATCATGCCTATTATCTTCACTTTGACCAATATCCAGGAACACCATGTTCTCTCCAATATCAATCCCGAAGCAAAAGTTATGTTAATAACCTTACTCATATGTCTTCTTTTATTAGGTTTCTACATGACCAAAAGAACTTCATGTTCACGCGGAGTTTACTTAATAGACTTCACATGCTATAAGCCCCCAGATGCTCAGAAGCTCACAAAACAGTTCTGGGTCGAGCAACTAAAGCACCTGGGAAATTTTTCAGAAGAAATGGTGCATTTCATGAGGAAGATTCTAGACAAGTCGGGACTTGGTGACTCAACCTATGTTGTAGATGTCTTACTGAAAAAAGATTCTGATCCGTGCATGAAAGAAGCCAGAAGGGAAATGGAGATGACAGTTTTTGGATCAATAGACATGCTGTTGGCTAAAACAGGTGTACGATGTGAGGACATTGGAATACTGGTTGTGAATTGTAGTATTTATAACACTATGCCATCTCTTTCTAGCATGATTGTCAACAGATATAAGCTTAAAGAAAACATCATCAGCTACAATCTTGTTGGGATGGGATGCAGTGCAGGACTCATGGCAATCGGCCTTGCTCAAAACCTCCTGCAGGTTAATGTTTGGCAACAGAATAGCCCCTAATCACCTATTTTTCGCATACTAATAAACACTGCTAAAACTAAATTCCACCATAGTTGTGGATTCTATAATTTGATAAGTAACAAGAATTGGTGATATATCACAGGTGCATCAGGATTCTTATGCGTTAGTGATGAGTACAGAGGGCGTTACCGAGAACTGCTACGTTGGAGATGATCGTTCCAAGCTCCTTACCAGCGGCCTCTTCCGCGTCGGCGGTGCGGCGATCCTCCTCTCAAACCGTCCCTCCGATCGTGACAATTGCAAATACGAACTCCTCCACACCGTACACACCAATGGATCAAGTTCCGACCCTTCGTACAACTGCATATTTCAAGAAGAAGACAAAGCTGGGATAAGAGGCGTCACCATTACCAAAGACCTCTTCAAAGTCGCATCCACCGTCATCAGATCAAACGCAACCACGCTAGGTAAACTAATCCTACCGATACCAGAAAAACTCAGATACCTAACAAACAGCATCGCAAGAAAACTCCGGCCAACGGCGAATATCCAACCTTACATACCAAATTACGGAAAATCCGTTGAACACTTCCTCCCGCATGTTGGCGGGAAGCCTATGCTTGACGAATTACAGAAAAACCTAGGGTTTGATGAGACTGCCATGGAACCTTCAAGAATGACGCTGTATAGATTCGGCAACACCTCCAGCAGCTCTATTTGGTACGAGCTAGCGTACGCAGAGGCAAAGGGTCGGGTCAAAAAAGGGAATCGGGTATGGCAGATTGCGTTCGGGAGTGGTTTCAAATGTAGCAGTGTGGTGTGGTGTGCAATGCGGACCGTTGATTATGATGAGATGAATCCGTGGACGGATGAGATCCACGGGTTCCCAGTTGATGTGGATTGTGACGATGAACCATTACCCATATTTTTTGAACCCTCGAATTAATAAGCAGTATAAAACGGATATTTGTGTTATGCAATAAAGATTGTATTACCATGTTATGGTAATGTTTGCGAAAATATGAATTGCAATTGTTTATTAAGTATTCTGTAAGACTCGTATATCGTACCGGATTGATTAAGTACGGGTTAATTAAGTATTAAAATTTAATTTTTTTTTTTAACCGGCAAATACAAATATTATAATCTACTCCTAAACTAATACTTAATTCCACATATGTCCACCACGGGACTTGAACCCTCAACCTCAATGAGGGCGGGCACCATCTGATACCGCTTGACTAGAAACCCTTTGGTTATTAAAATTTAAATAATAAAAAAAATTAAATAAGGCAAAAATAAACATATTAATTACAATTTAGTGTCATATTTATTGCATTTAATACTTTGTGTGTATATATATATATATATATATATATATATATATATATATATATATATATGTATGTATATATATGTATGTATATATATATAGAAGAGAGAGAGAGAAAGGTAGGTTCAAATGTTTTTCACATCTATTGTGTGCTAGAATGCACCAATAGGAATTTAGTATTAATTATATGTATATTAAATGTTATCCGTACTTATAACTCATTTTTATGGATACTAATTAAATTCATCATTAATATTAACAATCATATTCTTTTAGAATGAATTCATATCTACTAGAATACACTATCGTTCTTAATATTCCATGAAAATTTATTGTATTTTAAGTGAGTGAGTCCTGAAATAAAATACGAACTTATATATAAAACCTAGATGCGAATTCATTCTGAAAGAATGTTATTGCTGATATTAATAACGGATTTAATTAGTTTCCATAAAAAAAGAATTATAATTATGGATATCATTTAATATACATATAATTATGGAAATCATTTAATATCTATATTTATTTAATTAAATAATTATCTAATTACTCAATTTCTATTGGTGCATTCTAGCACACAATAAATGTAAGAAACAAAATAACCTAGCCCTATATATATATATATATATATATATATATATATATATATATATATATATATATATATATATAAGTAAAAGTATTATATGGTTTTTTTATTTTAAGAATTAAAAAAACCTATAAATTGATATAGAAATTATTTATTTAAAAAATATTATAAAATGTCAAGTATCAAAACTGTTGAAATTTGACAAAATTAATTTCTGCTCATGTCTAGCTATTTATTGTTATTACTAAAAACTTTTATTTAAAAAAAATGATGAATAAAATGTGAGTTTCTTAGACTGCTTAGAGTAGTGCTCGGCATGCTTAGCTAGCATATTTTTGCTAGCTATAAGGGTCGACATATTTGTGTCGAGTCTATCTCCTCTTCTATTCTTGCCACTTTCTTTCTCTCTTCTTTCTCTTCTCCTTTGCCATGATAAAAACGACAACATTCCTTTACCATGGCAAAAAAATAACGCCTCTCATGGGTCTTATAACATCTAGACACCCAACAATCATCTACCAAAAAGAAAACATTACTTCCGGGCCTGAATATTCAACTCAAATCTTGCTTATGGGCCTAAATTTTCAACGGCCTAACAAATATTTTGACTGTGCTTGCTTCAATGTCTTGATTCTTGAATCTCTTTTTTTGAGTTTCAAGTTTCAAAAACTTGTTGATCCATATTTATTTATAAAATCTAAGAAAGCTAGTAATATATAAAGTGTGTGTATATATATGGTTTATGAATTGTTTGATGAACACAATTCGACTTAAATAATAAATATTAATATACAAAGTGTGTATACAAAAATCTCACATATGGTTTATGAATTGTTTTATGAACATAATTCTACTTAAAGAAAAGTCAACGATAGTCTTATAAAGATTCAGAAATCTCTTCAGTTTCACAGGTGAACTACACCTTATGTACCATTAATTATTAGCGTATTAAGATAAATCACGATATATTGTTTGTAGATTTTTAGGGGTGTTTGGATAGGAAAAAAAAAGGTGCTTATTGCTTATTCCCACAATAAGCTAATTTAAGTGTTTGGATAAAATCCAGCTTATTAGGCTAAATAAGCTAATTTTAATAAGCATTACTCTCCATGGTTATTGCTTATTGTTTATTCCCACCACAAATAAACTATAAGCAATAAACTAAAAATCTAATCCAAACACCCCCTTAGAGGGTCCTACTAATTGGACCTTAGGTTTTCTTAAATTTTTTTTTTTTTTTTTGAAACGACAAACTATCCCGCTTCTACTCCTAATCTTAAACACCACCTAAGTCTCCTCGTGAGACTTGAACCCATGACCTCTCATTTGAGAGAGTCACTCCTTACCGCTAGGCCAAAGACCCTTTGGTCTTAGGTTTTCTTAAATGACCCTTCTCATTATTACTTTTTAGGTATAAATATATTTTTTTCTATTCCCACAGTCAAAATCAAATTTCCAAGAAGTCATTATCATTAATTAAAAGTAATAAACATACAATTAAAAACAAAAGTCAAATGTTAATAAAAAAAAAGAAGGAACCTATGCGTTTATTTTCCTGTCCTCTTTTTTTCATTTCTTTATATGAATTAAGTATTATAAAACGTTAATATGATACAAACTGATGTAGTATTATGGAGTTAGGTACCTAAGCTTATATAAGGTTGTTAGGTATATTCATTTTACCTATATATATATATATATATATATATATATATATATATATATATATATATATATATATATATATATATTATTGTTGTTTTTCTAAAATAATTACCTTAGATTTGGGCTTAAAACCATTATAACTTTTTTTTTGAGTAAAAGCCTTTTCGCAAGCCAAGTGATGATTTTTCTTGTATTACAAAAATCATCATTTTTATCATATTATAAAAATAATATTATTGTTTTAATACTTAAAATTTTAAAAAAAAATTAAGATTTATATGCATGTTCACTACCTAATACACACTCACATCGTCGGAAAATACGATCTGAAAATACACAAACATACATCAATCTAAAATGAAAATCCAGACACACACCAAAAAATCTCATTTTTCCCACCGCTAGAAGCTGTCGGGATAATAAAGAGAAAATGAACAAGAGAGGTAGTGAGTCAACAGTTAGGGTTGCCGACGGCGGCGACGAATGGGTGGCTTCCATGGTCCGATAAGACGACAACACACACCAAAAAATTCAATTGTACCACTAGAATTTTATGTACGAATATATTTGAATTATTTTTATGTATGAATACATTGAATTATTTTAATATGTATTTACATTGGAAATTTATTTTATTATTATTATGTCGTATCTGAAATCATTATTATTATACTTTCATATAAAAATTATTTTAATAAATTGCATATAAAAACAGAAAAAATAATTAAATTTTTTATTTAAAATATTTTATTTTATAGATTTGAGAAAAATAAATATATTTTTATTTTAATACTTTTTTATAAAAATGATACTATTTTTTTCTATAAAAAATCTTTATATTAAACCATTTTATTATGGAATGATTAGTTTTATTTAAAGTATAAATATAAAGTAATCATTAGGTATAATTTTATGTAATGATAATTAATCAAAAAAAATTAATTATTTTGTAAAGATTATTTTAATTTAGGAAAAAAGTTAAAGTAATTATTAGAAGGTATTTCAAGAATCTAAAAGAGTTCCAAATAACTCTAAAAACTTTTTTAGAGGTAAGATCATAAAGTATACTTTCAGATTTTTATATTTCAAAAATATATAATTGTCACCTTCGCCTATGACATTAAGCATAATAGTAGAGGTATTATATTTATACACTTGACAATTTGTTAATATTGTTTTATTTAAATAGAAAATAAACTTGATTAAAACCAAAAAATCTATCATGAGATTATATATATATATATATATATATATAGGAGCGGACCGAAGAATTTTCTAAAGAGGGGGCATGTATTTTTTTATAACGTTTTATGGGGGCAAATAATTTTGAAGAATCAAAACATATAATTTTGAAGGGTTAAAATATAATATTTTTTTAAAACTCACTTTTTAATTTTTTTTTTTTTTTGTTGTGGAGCAGCTGCCCCCACTCTAGGACCGCCATATATATATATATATATATATATATATATATATATATATATATATATATATATATATATATATATATATATATATATATATCAAAACCAATAGAATTAAAGGGGTATTTTGCAACATCTGCGTGATTAAGGGTCGTTTGAATCATCAAATACTTTGAATTAATGTATCGTTCAATGAAAATATTTTGTTTAGTTATATCTTAGAATGCTTGTGTTGAATGATGAAATTAAAAAAATTTAAATAAATAAATAAACCACTAGAAGATGTTTGAGATTGTTATTTAACTTAATAAGCATATTTTTAATGAAAGTGTTTATTAGCTTATATGATGATAAAAATAAGTATTTTAAAAAATGTTTAGATTAACTTATGTGGTGATAAAGCTATAAGTTGATAAGTTTTTTTAAGGTGTTTCGATTAAGTTATGTATGTAAAATGACCAAATAGGACATGACTACATATTTAGAACTACTTGATATTTTTATTTAAACAATTTTTTGTAAAAATAGTAAGTTATAAGCTAAAATGGTTAAGTTTTAATGGGGGTATTATAGTCTTTTCACTTTATAAGTCATAAACTGTTTTAAAAAGTCATCAAAGTGTGCTTTATAACAAATTATTTTTAGAAGGTGATAAAAAGAATTTATTTCAGAAGTGTTTGTTAGCTTTTAAAATATTTTTTAGATTTATTGACTTTTTGAAAAGCTAATAAATCAATAAACTCTTTTTAAGCTCAAATACACCCCGTCCAAATGATTGTGATAAATGATGAAAATGATCATTTTTGTTTTCTCAACTATTTTATGATGATTGCAATGTTCTTATTTGATAAAATATCTAAATCAACTTGTTATATAGTTATTAAAAAATGCAATCATCCTATAAAATCCAAATTAAACATAGATCCTTGCAAACT